AGTATTGAGTAATTTTCATTCCTAGCCCATCCCCTGCTCAGCGCCCAGTTAACTATTTAATCCTCACGACAATGCTATTGGGTGGAGACTACGGTGGGTTCTATTTTTGTAGATGAAAAAACTGAGGCTCAGGGGGTTGAAGACACTGTGAATCAAGCACTCCACCAGGAAGGGCAGCACTGGGTTCAGAGCTGAGAACCCAGAGCCCTGCTCCCAGCCACCACATCTGTGCCCCTCCACCTCAACGGCAAGTCTACGGCAAGAGCAGATGCTGAGGCCCAGGTGGTGAGCGGGGCTGCATCGTCTCTGTCTGCAGGATGCTTCCCCACAGCAGATGCTCAGAGAGGGTTTGCTGGGCACGTAGAGTAGTCAGGGCAAAATAAAAAAGGGTCAAACCCCTCCCTATCCTCAGTTCCCTGTGGAGGTGCACCAGCCCAGAACTAAGCCATGACCCACTGCCTTCTGGGAGGGGGAGTGTCAGGCATGGCCAGCAGGGGGAGAGCCAGCACCAGCTCCCCTCTCCTGAAAGCAGACTCTTCCCTCTAGGCTGCTGTCCCCTCTGTGACACCCCCAGCCGTTTTCTTGAACATTGCCCAGGGATGCAGATGTTTCTGGAGAAGGTCGTCTTTCTGTAGGACTCTTCCTGCAGCAGTGGCTTGTGGGGACACCTGTCCTCCCCATAAGGAGAGCTTTGCTTACTGAGCACGTACTGTGTGCCACCCCTGATTTACCTGTGAGCGGTATTTAGACTCAATCCAGCTGATGTAAAGAAGGAACGTGTCACATGTGCCTCAGCCACAGGATCCAGAGGGCTGTGAATACCCGCAAAGTCCTTCCCATCTCATGTGTGTGCACACAGAGGTGTTTCCAAGGCTTCAGGACTCGGCTTTTCTAAGAGTCTCAAAGGGGTGAATGATCCAATAAGATTTAGGAACCTCCTTAGGAAGAGAGGGTTAAGGAGAAGCTGCCCTGACCTGGGAGAGTCTGAAAGCCTTTCACTGTGGTTAAGCCTCTGGCTTTACGACTGAATGGATCATTCAGGCAAGAGTGGAGCGGTCAAGAGCACTGATCAATGAAGGATGAATTACAAACTCTTAAATCTGTGTTATCTAAGCTACGTTGGAATAGAATGAAACATCCTGTACTGGTGAGATTGTGAAACCAGTTTTGTAATCAGAGGACTCCGTAACAGTGCCGGTGGAGGTGGGGGAAGGCTGACAGGACAATGTATGTGTTTGTTTCAGAAACAGAGAGGAGCAGGGAAGTAGGGAGAAAGTTCAAGGTTATCCAAGAAGTGAGATCCATCCTACTTGGACAGCACTTAACAGTTCACAAAGCTCCTTCATAAACATGCACTCAAAAGCTCTTCAAAATAGTCCTGGAAGGTCAGCAAGATGTAATATTATCAGCTGTTGATCTACAAAGAAATGGAAGCACAGAAAGGTTGACTTATCTCCCCAAGGTCACACAGTTTGCCAGTGACCACAGTTATATAAGATAGTTGGACAGAGTTGATTTTTTTTCCCTCATAGAACATATTAATAAGAAAGATACGACTGCCCATTTGTCTCTAATTCGGGACAAAAAAATAATAACAGGTGGATATGATGTTGGCTTCAAACTCAAGCTTTCAAATGTTGTACCAAGTCTGAAGGTTCCTAAGTCTTACTGGGTCCTTCACCCCTTTGAGACCCTTATATAAGCTGAGGTCAGGAAGAAATAAAAAGAAGTCTTGAAAACATCCCCAGTGCACACCCACGTGAAGCGGGCAGGACTTTGCAGGTCTTCACTGCCCTCTGAAAAGGTGGCTGAGGCTCCTGTGAAACATTTCCCTCTCCACGGCAGCTCCATCTAGTTTACCTACTGCTCAGAGGGAAAACGGCTCGTGCAGACCTTAGCACTCAGTGTGTGCTCAGGAAGGAAAGCTGTCCTTCAAACTCACAACGACACTCAAAAGCTTGAGCTTGGAGCCAGCCAGTCAAGTCCTTTGTGATGAACAGCTCGGGTTCTGGGGCTGGCCTGCCTGTCCCACCCCAGAGGCACACCTGCGAGGGGATGCAGACGACCTGGCTGTGCAGGACAGTCGCTGCCCCAAGTGACCCTCACCCAGGAGGGTCAGGAATTGTGAAAAAATACTCCAAGTCTTGTGGCCCTTCATGATGTCACCCTGGGGACAGCCCCATACGGTTTCTGGGGAAGTTACTGGCAGCTCAAGGCTCTGGAAGAAGCCTCCCTGTCCCTGGGGGTCTCCTCTCCTTTCCTGGCCCTTCTCGAGGGAATTGCCTTTGTTGACATTTTGGGCCTTACAAGAAGGTGCCAGGGTAGCATCAAAGACGCCAGCAGTGTTCAGGGGAGAGGCCTGTTTGAGAACAGGGCAGGCAGCAGGAGAGTCCTCAGACAGGCTCTGGTCTGACCCCCTGAAGGAGAATGGGGAGAAGCTCGGGTTGAAGAGCCGCTGGTCGCTTCTAAGCTGATGGAGTCATTGAGCCAAAGTCACCGGGTGGAGGGATCCTGCAGCATATGGCCACTTGTGCATTACGCCTTGCGTTCAATCACTGCGAGGTAAGAAGCGTGTCCTCACGGTGTGGAGGTACGTCCAGGAGGGCAGCAGCTGGACCACCCCTCGGTGGTCTTTCAACAGGACCTCTGTGGTCCTTCTCCTGTGCATTCTGGTCTCTGGGCCTGATTCTGGGGATTCCAGTTTACATCACGGCTTGACAATTAACTGCCGGATGGATGGACGAGTGAAAAAAGAGTTTCATTCCCCCTGACGGTCAGCATCCACAGAAGCTAAGAACTCCTAGGCCAGCTCCTTTCCGGCAGCTGTGACCTGAATGTTCTTCAGAGGTCCTGAGTCACATTGTTTTCAGAGTCCAGGTCCTTCCTCACCAGTTTCACTGGAGGGAAAAACCAGGATGAGACAGAATGGAGCAGGAGATGGAGCAGCAGACATTGCTGTGTCCCTGGGGCCCTGGGAGCATGAGTGGGCATCTCAAAGAGGGCACTCACAGGAATGGGGAGGGGCTATGTGCTCGGCCCTGTCGATCACCACTGTGTGACCTTGTGCCAGTCACCCCGAAGCTTTCAAGAATCAATGTATCATGTGGGGAATCTGGCCCCCCAGTTTCCATGAGGACCGAGGGGAAGTCCACGAGGCATTTCACAGGCTGCACTAAAAAGTGCTGGGTTTCATTTGAAGATCCCATGCCAAACATAGGCTATTGCCTCCCTCATTTTCCCCAGATCCCTAGAAATGAAACAATAGGAATATTTTGAAAATTGATGAGCCTAAAATTATTATTCCAAATTTAAAAGCCCGGCGGTCTGTGGTTATTATAATGTCCAATGTTGTCTAAACATCACTTTCATGCATTGCCCCGTGGGAATTAGGGCCTGAGAGATAATAAGTCCCAGAGGAAGCAGCTGCTCAGTAAAGCAGAACTGTGATTTTTTTTTTTTTTAAATGTCATGGACAGAAGAGGCAAGGGGAGGGGTTGTCACTGGAGAGGATGCACAGGCTGGGCTGCCAAGCCTTGCCATTAGCCGCCTCCTGCAAGCCAGCGCTAAGAGGAGCACAGGAACAATGTGCCAGCCAGCTGGGAGCAGTCGGCTGCAACGTACGCAGTACATTAAGTGACTGTCCCCATCCCTGTCTTACAGGTTTCCATCTGATAAGGGAACCATTGGTCTGGATCGTGTTTCAGAAAGTGAAGGAAACAGAAAGACGCCCTCACTCTTGTGCTTTCCTGATACTGCCTCACCTCCTGTGCTGCTGCGTTAGGAGTAAACTGTCCTAGAAAATCAAAAATCACAACAACGACCTATGGAGATCTCCCATGGACTAATGGGAGAGACTTTGCTCAGAGAAAATCGAAGGTCAGGAAGTTCAGAGATGTCAACGTAGGGTCGCTGGACTTGTATGAGAAGCCCAGTTAAATTTGAGTGTCAGATAAACAATGATTTTAGTATATATGTGTCCCATGCAATTAAAAACTTTCATTACAAAAAGACATAACTTTTAGTATAGGTATGTCCTATGTAAAAAAATAAAAATTTAAATTTAAAAAAATACTCAAAAAATTTTTATTGTGTGTCGGAAATACAAATTTGGCTGGAAAACCTTCACTTCCCACTTCAACAAAAACATACAGCTAGTTATGATGTGATCATAACCCAAGGTGTTCTAGTTGTGAAGTTTTCTACTAAATTGTACCAATCCCTCAATATAAGAATTAAATATGGGCCAGTATTTTGTTATGACGTGTATGGCATTTTCTCACATCCCATATTACTAAGCCCCTTTTAAACCAATCACTCGCATATAACCCTGATCTCAGAGTCTGATTCTAGGGGAACCCTCTTGCACCGCAAGAGACTTTAGGCTCCCTCACTCAAAACTGCCCCCTAACTTTACATGGGAAGCTAATAGCCCCCCCAAAGCAGGGACAAAACTGGCTTCTTTCAGCCCATGGGTAGAGAAAGAGAGTAACAGCAACATAACCCGCCTGCAGAGACAGCACGGAAGTTTCTAGTAGCCGCACCCAGAATACAACCTTGGGGTCTACCCAGAGGCAATGGCAACCAGGCACCACTTCTCTGGTTTGCGTTTTTTCTTAGCTGTGTAGCTTCCAAGTCTTGTTGTCTGACTTCTCTAGAAACCACGTAGCATCCAATATGCTTCCCACCAGTTCGTTTCCCACTTAGGTTGCCCAGGATCATCTCCTTGTGTGAAACACACTGAGGAAGTATTCATGGATACCGGAAGAGGTGTGCGCAGCTGTGGGCCCTCAGGAGACGGTGCCACTGGGCTGGTTGCCTGAACTGGTTTGGGCTACGGATGATGAAAATTCATCCAATCAAGGGATGGGATTCTGGCGGCCGACGTCCAGGTAGCACTCGTGGGCCACTGTAATAATAGGCCCATGAAGGTGAGGTAAGGGGACCTCCTGACTCTGTGGTAGAACTCTGCGTAAGAAGTTCTAGAACTGTGGGCATGTGTGATTGTGTCTAACGGAAGCGAGTAGCTCAAGGAAAGAAAATATTAAGCACTCAGTCCTAAATTCCTGGCCTCACAGAAAGTCCTGAAACCGTGGACTTTCACTGACTGAACTAGAAACTCCTTGGGTTTGGGGACTCTGGACAAAAGCCACCTAAATGAAACCTTGATCATTAATGGCTCAGGCCAGACGTGTCTTCTCAGAGCCAGAGATTTTCAGTCACGATTTCAAGTAGGCCTTCAGTGGGCTGCCCATTCGTGTCCACTCTGGGGTCCACAGGAAGAAGGAGTCAAGCCTCCATACTAAGACCAATTTGACTGACACTGTGGTGTGGACGGGCAGAGTGGTGGGGTAACTTGCCGCAGCTCACACGTCGTCGTCAGAAGAGAAGGAGACACCTGCCCGCTCTGTCGCCTGCTCCACCTTTATTCATCCCACCTAGGGATTTGGATCCAGCGATTCGGATTTTTTACCAGGTGAAGAAAGTTCAGCAGGTCCACAGGAGAGGTGCCTCCCCCTGAGGTTTGGGCCACCCAGACGCTGCTTCCTAGAAACATTGTGAAGAAGACCCACAGCAGAGAAAAATGACATTCCAAGAAACATGCCCAGAAAACAAAGAAACGGAGGTAACTTTAATACTATATCTCTCAAAAAAAAAAAAAATTTAGAGAAAATCTCATTTGACACCACAGCATTTTAAAAGGTTCTGCTCGTCCTCTTAACTGGCTCCCAGAGTCTCCTTGAAGCCTCTGTTCCCTCCCCCATCTCCATCCTCCCCATCACAATTCACTCACCACCCCCTTCCAGCTGTCTGCAAACCTTGGCTGCTTCTGGGACAGATAACGCTCCTCTGTTTGTCTGCTTGGCCCCATGACGAAATAGCTGCCACCCAAACTTTAAAATAAGGCCCCAAAATAGGGAGGATGCTATAGCTTGGATCTGAAGTGTCCCCAGAGGCACCACCAGTCTGCCTCTGTGTGTCCCCAGAGGCACCACCAGTCTGTGGTACTATTGGGAAAAGGAAGAACCTCTAAGAGGAGGGACTTAGCTGGGTGCCGTGACTTGGGAGGCTGAGGCGGGAGGATTACAATATCAAAGCCGTCCTCAGCAAAAGCAAGGGACTAAGCAGCTCTGTGAGACCCTGTCTCTAAATACAAAACAGGACTGGGGATGTGGCTCAGTGGTTGAGTGCCCTTGAGTTCACCCCTAATATCCCCATCCCCACCCCCCCAAAAAGAGGAGGGACAGAGTACAAGAAAGTTAGTCATTTGAGCTATGCCCTTAGAAGGGCTATCGGGAATCTGGTCTCTTCCTCTCTCTCTACTTCCTGGTTATCTCGAGGCAAACAGACTTCCTTTACACTTGCTGCTGTCATGAAGTTCTGTGCTGCCACAGGCCTAAGCAACTGGGCCAAGCAATCTTGGAGTGAAACCTCTGACGTGGTGAACCAAAAAAAAAAACCCTTCCCTTCTTATAAGCTGATTATCTCAGGTATTGGGTCACAGTATGGAAAGCTGACTAACAGAGGGTAGGAGATGGGTGGGAGGGGGAAATTCTCAGTAAGCATTATCAGATTTACCTTGGTGTGGGATAGGATGGGAAGAAGGAAATAAAGGTTGTGGTACCTCCTACACATCACATAAAAACACGGCTTTGCCAAGAGGGAATTTTGTTACGACACTTACTATCATAAATCTTAGTTGTCTGATCATTATAATGGGAACTCCCATTAAAATGTGTTGGTTTGAATAATAAAAGAGATAATACAATGTATACAGCCTCGTGCTTGGCACATGGGCAACAGACAAGGACTATAAAGGAAAGATGAAAATCCAACAAATCTTTCTACTTCCTTTTGACCATGCTTCATGCAAGTTAGCTTAAATGTTTTTACAACACTTAATCTAAAATGTTTTCAAACATTCAGAAAAAAAAAAGTTTTAAAAAATCACAGTGAACACCCAAAGATACCCAGCACCTAGATTCTACAATTTGCATTTGATTATAGTTGTTTTATCATGTATCTATCCATCCCCTCCTCCATCCATTACGGTCAGATTATTTTTGTTCCATTTTAAGATAAGCTGCAAACCTTGATACATTTCTCTCCGGACACTTCACCATGAATACTGTTTTATTTTTAAATGATCTCTAAGAAGGACAACGCAACATAACCTTTTGTGTTCGACAGGAGTGCTGCTAGTTCTCCTTTTCTGCCAAAATGTAGGTCAGCCTCTCTCTCTCACTTTGGTCAGCTTCAAAGTAGCATATCTCAAAGCATATTTCACGGAACCTGGATCCAGTGTAAAAGGGGAAGCAAAGTATCTGTGGTCAAAATGATAGAAAGACTGGATTAAATTTAGTTTTGTAATGTTTTGGACCTGCAGAGTTCTCAGAGCCTTTTTTAGGCTAACGTGCATATGGTCACAGGGGATCCACTCACTCAGCCTACTTGGTCAGAAGAACCCCCTTTTCTTCTGAGCAATGTGTCACCTAGGGGTTCCATAGAGAAAATTTGGGGCAAGGATGCCTGTACCTAAGTCCTGCCCTCCTTGCTCTTTTCCTCAGAGCTCATAATTTCCCCTGATTTCTGGTTCTGCAAAGTTAGTTTCTGCAAAGTTTCTCCGGGTGGCTTAGATCATATCTGTTTCTAATCATTATGATCCTTTCCATCGACTTCTCTAGAACACACCCTCTTTGTCCACAGTGCTATCACAAGTTTGTAAATGTGAAGGTCAGCTCTGCCCTCTGGGAAATCATCTTTGAGATCAAGGACGGAAAGATCATAACCCGGTTGATATCTCACATCTCTCATGTGAAACTTCGTATAACCCCTGACGTCTGGTTGGGGCGCCCTTGTTCCTCCAGTCCTGCCTTCCCATTCAGAGGAGATCATAGGTAAAAGATTCTGAAAAACTGCGAGTCACAAATAAAAGGTGCTGTTTTTATGACATTCGTGTTAGAGAAGCAGAATCGTAGGATCTGGAATGACCTTGACAGTGTCTCCAGACTGGTCCTATGGTGGGACGGCAAGGAGGCACGGTCCTGGTGTTTTAATCTCTCTCCAGAGGGGTTTCGTTTTCAGTTCCCCTTTGCAACCTGCCAGGGGGTTCAAATAGAGCATCTTGCTGCTCAGAAATGTTCTAAACACTGGCCTTTCTTTAGCAGTTGATGAAATGTCTTGTTCATGAAAGTCTTAGGAGAGGGGAAGCATGATCCCTCTTTACACTTGTGTCTATTTTGTGACAGGGACCAGAAAGCTTCACTTGCTATACCACAACATGAGACTGAGCAAGGAAGGTCTGATTCTCTGGTAATGATCCATGTCAGAAGGAGCCCAGAGGGTGGAGAAGTGAATGAGCAGAAATCATTGTTAAAGAGAAAGCACAGCTTAAGAATGCAACTGCGTGGACGCCTTCCTCCAGAGAAAATATAAGTGCCATTTTAATGTATCTGGTGGACCTCTCAGTGTTGAAAGCGTTGGGGTCCCCTTCCTGGGCAGCCTTGATTTTCTTGTTCACCCTTCAGTAAACTAGACAAGACCCCCTGCATTCTTTCACTTCTCTGAGCCTCTGAACACACTTGCCTTGGCCTGAAATACCTCACACATCCCATACACCTAGGCTGCTTACAAGCACAGATGCAATGTCTAGGGACAGTTTCACAAAACAGCATAGAGCAGGTCACATACACTGAGTGCTAAAGAGCACAGGGCCCATCTCATCCATAAGTATCAAGTGAATGAAACTAATGTCAACTAATCATCAGCTGAGGTTATTTCTAGTATGTGTCCAGGAAGAAGTGAGCTTTGAGAAGTCTGGAAGCTGCACATTTATGGACACTATCAATTTGTAAACGATATGGATATTATAATACAGAACATTGTATCCTGCTATAAAATCTATTGCATGTTCTTTTCTTGTGTGCTTATATCAAAAGGTGCTCTTTAGAGTTCGCTGCTTTAACTCCTAAAAGTTCTAATTAAATATGATTCTTGACAGATTTATGCACAAAGCTGATCCCTCTTGGATTCATTCATATGCATGTGATTCACCAAACACATATAATTATATGTGCCTCTTGTTTGAGGATCCATATGCTCATGCTTTGTTTTGAAGCATCTCACAGTTAGAGGAAGGCAAATAAATCTATAGTCCTAAGATAATGTGGCATGCATACTGTGGTGGAGATGCTGTGTGAGGAATTTTAGGATCACGATGGGGAGAGGTTTCATAGAAGTGGGGACACAAAGCAGAGCTTTGGAAGGTGGAGGAGGACATAGCCAGGTGTACATTTGATTGGAATGAATCCTCAAGCCAAGACAAGCTTAGTTTTGTCCCTGTCCTTTGTACTTGTGTGACCTTGGATAAGTTCCTTCAGTTTACTAAATTTGTCACCTATTTTGTGAAAGTTGGGAGGAGAGATTCCTGTGCTTTAGAGTTGTTTTGATAATTAAATGTTAAATGTAGACCTATGGAAGGCAGTAGCTGTATTCTACTTCCTTCTTCTGTCCTTCCCTAAACATGATACGGTGTTGGCGGCTGTCCCATAAAGCAGTGCACACGTTGGATTAAAATTCCTGCAGGGAAGCTTGGCGTGACTTTGGGTACAGTGAGAAGTCTTTCTCTGACCAAGGAGGATCTGATACAAACAGACTTATCTTTACAACTAACTGAACATTCAGAGGTGCCAGGGGTGCTACCGTCTTTCTGCTCCTTGTTCTTTCTGTACATCGGGGTCTCTTGCTGGCTGGGAATCATGGTGTTCAAAAGAGACCAGGTTTGTCACCAACATACTGAGCTGCTGGGTGGCTTTGTGCTTCTAGCTCTAATGATATCAAGGGCATTTAAAGTTTCAGATCTATGTGTAACTACAAAAATAATCAAAGGGATACTCAAACAGACTTTAAAGAGACGTGTACCCCAAAAGTGCTTTTCCTAGTTTTTAACTCAGAAAAAGAATCCAATAAGGCAGGCTGTGAAAAGGACCTAAATTGCTAGTTTCATTGAAGCTTTGACTTTGTAGGGATTTTTCTAAGTGACCTGATTTCAAAGCACTCCATTTCCCCAGCGCGGCCTTTTCTGTCACATCGTCCAACATCAACCTTGACATTTCCATATGTACTTCCACAAAAAAAAGGCTCTCCACGAACGTCTCCTGAGCAAGGCTTAAATAGAACAAGATTGAAAAGCTTGTCAGATGGTTTTCTCCTCTGCTTTGTTCAGAGAGAGGAACCTTCGCTGTGGTGGACAGATTCTGGATGCTCTTTCTCCACGCCTCTGCCTCTTCCTTCCACCTCTAATCTCTGTCTGCCTCAGGCTATGGGACCAGCTCTTGGGAATGAAAACTATGGACATTCTGAGCTCTTGGGGGTGCTATCAAAGGCCGAGGACACGGCCTGAGTTCATTCTCAAGCTTTCTCAGCCAGTTGGTGACAACCCACAACCAACTTGTGAAGGAACTTCAGAGTCACCAACCTGGCATTGGGTGTCTTCTTCCCGGCTGGGTGCACCCCATCTCCACTGCACTCAACAGCTCACTGTGCCGCAGTCTTTTTGCTGGCTGGGGGTTCCAATTGTACATGCCACCCACCTCCCAGCGCAAAGTCCTCCTTCTCCTCCTGAAACCATCCCTCACAACACACCTGGGGAACTTATTTGTTCTCTGAATTCTCTTGTCTTTTCATATGTACTGTTCTTTAGATCTTTATTTTCAATTTTTATTTTACCTGACACCATCTGTGTTTGTATGTCAAGAGCCTGATATTCTTAATGCTTCAGAAGAGCCCGAACTCTCTTAATTCATGATCATATTTTTTAAGATTTTTATTTTATTACTTTAAGAATTTAGAATTTTTGATTGATATAATACTTGCACACATTATGAGGTATGATATATTTTGGAATATTAGGTAGTTATCCACTCAGGGCAATTAGCATATCTATTGCCTTCAATAGTTATCATTCTCTTCTGGTGAGGACATCCATAATCTTCTATATATTTTGAGATATATAATGTGTTATTGTTAATTATGTTTTCCTGCTATGCCACAGAACATAGCAGGAAAACATATTGTTTCTCCCATCAAACAATAGCACTGTATCCACTGACCAACCCATCACTCTCTCCCTCATTCTGCACCTATTCTCCTTAGTCTCATAACCAATATTCTATCCTTGTCTATGGGTGGAATATGTTTAAAGTCTACCTAAGAATGAGATCATATCTTTTAGCACAAGTAGAACACTTTGCCCACAACAGGTATTTCTGGCTCTGCCATGATCAAGATCGATTGCTGCTCTAACATACAAGTTTCAAAATGTGCCATGGACCAACCATGGCAGAAGGCTGTTTGTCATTATAGATCACCTGAAATAAGTGACATTTTTCAGCAGGTGGCTGTCCTCCCTGTAGCAAGTCAGGAAATCCATGTTCCATTCCTCAGGCACTCAGAATTTCCCCTGTTGGGTTCCAGGCTCACCCTGGGGTTCCCTCCACCCTAGAAGCCATAGGGGGGAAAGGCATGGAAGAGTGCTTGTGGACTGGCACCTTGTCTGCCACTCACATCCACTGGCTGGAGCTCAGTCACACAGCCAAACCCGCCGGCAAGTGGGCTAGAAATGCTGTCTAATTGAAGCCCAGAAAGAAAAGCAACGGCTTGGAGCCCAGAGGGCTGCCTCTGCTATAGGTCACCTGAGCTTCCTTCCCGGGCTATGCCGTGGAGGAAATGAAAACCCATGTCAGGCAGTTGTGAATATTGCATTGTATGACAATTATAGAAACTTTCTTTTCTCCTGGAAAAATTTAAAAAAAAAGATGAATGAAGTGATCCTTCTTTTCCTTTCACTGTTAACTAAAGGGACACTCAATTCAGCTCATCAGACTGTCCTACTACCTCACCAAGGGGGGTAAGGGAAGCTAGTGTATTGTTTTAGGAGGAAACACACACACACAGACACACACACACACACATACACACACACACACACACACACACACACAAAGATGTTCTCTGTTAATTCACTTAATCAGAAAATTGAGTTGGCCATAACACTTCATTCCCTATGCAACTTAATTAGTGACTAAGTGACTAATGGAAGTTCTACTAGGCCTCGTGAGTGAAATGTGGGCCAGTGTGTGTGTGTGTGTGTGTGTGTGTACCCAACCTTCAACTGCCATCACCTATGCACTGACTGTGTCACAAGCTTGGAATTTACACATTAGACTCTGAATTGCACCAATAGGACCTTCCTATAGAAGGCACTCCACAGATTGACACAAACCCTGGCCCAGAAACACACTGATCATGGTAGGCTGATGGCTGTAATGAACAGTCTAAATCTCAGTGGCCTGAAATAACACAGCTTTACTGCTGGCTCCTATCTCAGTTCAGTATGGGCTGTGGAGGGAGTGAGGTTGGGGTGCTCCTACACATGCAGTCTTGGGGATCCATGTCCTTCCCTCATGGGCAGGACTTCTTTGCTTTCTCCAAGACCCTTGGAGTCCTCTACTGGATCCTAAATCCCACTGAGGGATGAGGAAAAGCTGAGTGCACGAAAGCTACCCTCTTAACTTTGGGCAGGAGGTAAGACATCATTTTCACTTACCTCCCATCAGTGGGAACTTACCATGTGCCTGAGAGGCAAAGCACTTGATATCTCTGAAATCAGTGTCCTCATCTATAAAAGAGAAATAAATGACAAAGCAACTGTGTATCTAGCACACAGGAGGTGCCTAATTAATGTTTGTTGCTGCTGATTCTCAGTTTACTGAATGTAGTAGGAAATCCTTTTTGTTCTCAAGGACACACTGGAAAGCACTAAACTAAGGCTTTTTAAAGAAATCCAAAGTACTATTAGAATGAAGGGTGAAGAACCAAGGGAAGAGGAGAGAAAATGAGCCAAAAGAAGAGAAGATGAGGCTAACCGAGGGTGTCAGTTGTACCGACGGTTACTGCCCTGTTTTTCTCCATGCTTCATCTCAGGGAAGGTTTCGGGGTAACAAGGACCTATTACTCAGAATTCCCATGATGAGTCACAAAAAAGGTGGAGGTAGGAATCATGTGGACGCTCGAGTCTTCTGCAGGTAATTAACCGGGAGACCAAGCGGGGAACTTGCATCAGGCCTACAGGAAAACAGTCACACTATTAATCTCTTTTATAAGAACAGCAACACCTAGAAGGCCACGCATCCCGGCCCTCAGCAGAAGCAGCACTAGCCCAGTTTCCCACATGAATCACTCTCTTTGAAGGCAGACCCAGCCCCTGCAGAGACCCGGAACCTGTTTTCGTCGCCCCCCTCCCTTTGGTTTCATCTTTCACCACACTGTTCAAGCCCAGCCTAGTGACCTATTTTGATTCCCTACAAATGCCTGGCGCTCTTGCACCTTAGATTTGCAAGGGCTCTTCCCTGACCCTAGACAATGCTTCAGTGTTTTCTTTCTCTTTCTTCTCCCCGAAGTCTCAGCCAAAAGATCACCTGTCTCAGGGAGCCTTCCTGTTCTACGTGGGTGCTTACCCTGTGTGTTCTGATGACTCCGTCTCACCTCTCCCAGCACCTGTGACAATAATGACACAAACGGACATTTCCCATATATGATGGATTTCCTCAGGACAAGACATTGACCTTTATGTACCAGTTGTGTGTCACATAATGCACATCGGTCACATAACCATTACCATTTGCATCACTTTTCAATGAATGACATTTTTAATATCCACAATAACCCAAGAATGTAGGCACTATAAAAATTATGTTTATATATATTATATACAATAATAAAGTATTTGTGAATATATTACCTAGCATGTACTTATGCATATAAATACAAATTTAAATATAATTGTAACTCCAATTAAAATGAGAAAATAGAGCTTCTTTAGAAGTATATAAAGATGAGGTTCAAATGGACATCTGTTTAATTCCAAGGGAGTTGTAATTTTCTCAAAGAAAGAGACATCATCAATTAATGGAATCAATATAATTATTATGAAGAGTGTTACGGGGGTACAGTTCTGAGCTGTTTTCCTGCCTGGGTTCTGGGCTATGGGTTTCTAACACTTTCCGCTGGGGTCACCACAGTCAGGCTGGTGACTCGTGGCAGCTACAGGTGAGACACATCTTTCTTTCTTTCTTTCTTTTATTTATTTATTCTGATTTGTTATACATGATGGTAGAATGCAATTAATTTCATATTACACATATAGAACACAATTTTTCAAGACACTGGTTGTACACAAAATATTTTCACACCATGCGTGTCTTATACATGTACTTAGGGTAATGATGTCTAACTCATTTCACCGTCATTTCTACCTCCTTGCTCCCTCCCTTCCTCATCCTCCCCTTTGACCTATCTAAAGCTTCTCCATTCCTCCATGCTCCAACCCCAGTCGCCATTATGGATCTGCATCCCAATATCAAAGAAAACATTCAGCCTTTGGTTTTTTGGGATTGCTTACTTCACTTAGCATTATATTCTCCAACTTCATCCATTTACCTGAAAATGTCATGATTTTATTCTCATTTAATGCTGAATAATGTTCCATTGTGTATATATACCAAAGTTTCCCTACCCATTCATCTACTAAAGGGCATCTAGGTTGGTTCCACAATTTAGCTAGTGTGAATTGTGCTGCTACAAACATTGATATGGCTGTGTCCCTGTAGTATGCTGTTTTAAAGTCCTTTGGGTATAAACTGAGAAGAGGGATAGCTGAGTCCAATGGTGGTTCCATTCCCAGTTTTCCAAGGAATCTCCATACTGCTTTCCATATTGGCTGCACCAATTTGTGGTCCTACCAGCAATGTATAAGTATGCCTTTTCCCCCACATCCTCACTAACACTTATTATTGTTTGTATTCTTAATAGCTGCCGTTCTGACTGGAGTGAGATGAAATCTTAGATTAGTTTTGATTTGCATTTCTCTAATTTCTAGAGATGTTGAACATTTTTTCATATTTGTTGATTGTATATCCTCTTCTGGGAAGTGTCTGTTCCATTCCCTGACCCACTTATTGATTGGGTTATTTGGGTTTTTGGTGGTAAGGTTTTTGAGTGCTTTATATATTCTAGAGATTAGTGCTCTATCTGATGTGCTTGTGGTAAAGATTTGCTTCCATTCTGTAGGCTATCTGTTCACCTCACTGATTATTTCTGTTGTTGAGAAGGCCTTTTTAGTTTGAATCCATCCCATTTATTGATTCTCAGTTTTAATTCTTGCGCTACAGAAGTTTTATTAAGAAAGTTGGGGCCTGACATGATGGAGATTAAGGCCTACTTTTTCTCTCATTAGGTGCAAGGTCTCTGGTTTGATTCTTAGGTCCTTGATCCACTTTGAGTTTTGTGCATGGTCTTTATAGAGGTAATTCAAGTAAAATGACGTCTTGAGAATGGGAACTTACCAAATGTGACTGGTGTCAACAAGAAGAGATTAAGACATGCTTAGAGGTGAGACCACATGAAGACACAAGGAGAAGGTTGCAACTACATGCCAAGAAGAGAGGATGCAGAAGGAATCGACACTGCCAACACCTTGATCTTGGACTTCTAGCTTCCAGAACTAGAAGGTAGAGAAAATAAATGTCTATTGTTTAAGCAACCCATTTTGTGGTACTTTGTTATGAAAACTCTAGCAAACTAATAGATCCTCCCTCATCCTTCAGCACCTTCCACACAAGAGAATTAGGGGCATAAAAATGGCTCACCTAATTTTTAGGGGTGAACCCATGGGTCCTGGATTCATAATCACTAAGTCTGATTCATTCATCTTTTTTTTTTTCATGTAACTCATTTGCTTATCAAATAGTTGTTAGAAGTTTACCAGGGGCCAAGCAGTCTACTTGCTCATTAAAGAAGTTCCAACATCTTCCAATCCTTCATGAGGGTCACCGTGGGCATAGGACCAAACACAATTTAGGCTTCCAGATATCTCTCCAATCTCCATTCCTCCTCCTTTCTCATGAACACAATCTTGCTTTTTGAGTGTTGACAATATGGTAAGTGAACCCCAGAACCCCATGTAGACAGAGGTGGCCACTTGACAAAATCTGGCCAATGGAATAGAAGTCCTGGGTGTAACATGGTAGACACTGGGACACCTCATATAGATCTTCCTTCAGCCAAAGGCTTGCTGCCCCAGCATCTGGAAGAACTGTGAGTGGCCAGCCTTCAGGGGCCAGGATCTTCAGGCATGGTCTCAGCTGTGGGGAGCTGCCGCCCTGGGATGGCCCATGAAGAGGCTCAGGGAGGAGGCAGTGTCATGGCCTGGTCATCTCAGCTGTGACTCAGGAGCTCCACAAGGAGTCCTCCATGGGCCTACACAGAGGCTCTCCTTCCTCCTCTGCCCATTCCTGTTTCTGTCCCCCTCTTTCCAGAGTGTCAGTTCGGATGGCACCCCTTAACAAACATCTCACACACCAACTCTTTCTCGTGCAGCTCCGGAAGAAGCTTCAGAAAGATGAGGCTGCTCCAGCTGGCATGCATTTTCCCCATTGTCCTATCCTACCTCATACCCTAATGCACATTGGCTGTGGTTTCAGCCTTCACCTTATAGCCATAAGGCAACGTCAAGAATGGAAGCCACACGCTGAAGGGTGTGGAGCAAAAATCAAAATAGCCAGGATCCCCGACGACTACAAACCACCATGCTAGTTATTCTCGTCCTGCTTATCTCCACATGTCTTGTTAACTAATAAAAATGACACTCCTGATATATTTAAACCATTGCTTTAGATCGTGGGTTCCTGTTAAATGCAGCCAAATATAGTTTTCATCTGTACGAAGCATTAAACAGATATAAATAAGTGATGCATTTGTTTTAATGCAAAGTCTAATAAGAATACGTAATTATGGATGGGGTGGTGCAACATTTTCCACCAGGGTTGAAAATGTCCCTCGAAGGTGGAAGGAGTTCAATGCTTTCTAGTTTATTTTTAGCTTGTTTCTGATATTTTCTAATTCAAATAGTTGAGTCTTGACCAAAGAGGTAGGTAGATGGTAGATGAGGGGTGGACATAGATTGGCAAGAAGATTAAGGAGTGGATCCTCCAGTTTGCCCGGGTTCACTCTGTATCCTTCTCTTCCCAGTTCTTTGCTCTGTGAAGCCAGCCCGCCTGGATACGTCCATGGAAAGAGTGAGGACATTGGATAGCTATTACCCGGTTCCCTGCCTGTGGTACTTTCTGTGGGATGTCTGTGCCCCTCTACCAAAGGTCACTGTTCCTCTCGAGTGACTTCTTTATGTGAAGCTGTCTTTACCTTAGATAGTGGTTAATCTAAGAGCTTCAGATAGTCCAGGAGGTCTGTGAACTTTAATGGAGAGTTTGAAAATGCATGTTTATAATCACTAACCTCTAACCCATACTCGTCAGTGATCAAGTTAGGCTACACATCATACTGGAATTAGCAATGCCCGTGGCTGGCTGCTATAACAGATCTTTCCATATCACTTCAAAAAAGGCGTAGTTACGTTGAAGATTCTTTTGTGCCCACCACTGCATCAGACCCACCATTAGATCTTTCATGTTGTGTGTTAATAATGCAGTTCCTCTGTTAATAAATTGCAAAGTTATTTGACTCAGACATTTTATTCATAGGATTCCAGGGTAATTAGCTTCTTTGGTAATTGTAAATATTTTATCAAGCTCATTTAAAATCATTATCTCAGGATAGGACATTTGGAGTCGATCAGAGTGACAAAAGGCTAGAAGCCCATGAAGTAAACATTTCTTCCCCTGGTTCTTTCAGCCTAGCAGCGGTAACTGCCTCCGTTGCCTTCATCTGGGGGGCTGCACCACCCCTATGTTTTCCTACATCCTCCACACCTCTGCAAGTCCTTCAGTTGTCCTACGGTCAGCCCACAGTGTCTATGTCTTTGTAGGACACTGATTGACAGACCCTACAAAGGATTTTGACTTCCATGTCAAGAGTGGCCCTGGAAGCTTGGATGGGTCACTGGATTGCTGTGAGCTTCTGTTTTTCTCATTTGTAAAAGGAAGAGAACACCCAACATCAAAGCATCCAGGCTGTTATTGATCAGGAAGAATCAATGAAATACGTTTGAATATTGTTTGACACGCTGAAGGCATCACACACGCCACTTTGCTTTTGGCTCCACTTTCTTTCCCTTCCTCTTCTACCCTTTTTTTTTAACCAGCAGGTTAGCAGACCAAAATGGACCCCGACAGCCTAAAGATAGGTGGCATTTCAGGGAATAATTGTCACTTGTGTTGTTTCCATAGTTAGGACTTCAAGGCTGAGGCACAGAGAACTGTGTTCAGTCCCTTCCTCTGTAATTTTTTAATTGCATGTCTGAATGAAGTAAGTTCTCATTTAAAAACCCAGAACAATATTCCTAAAACATGGATAGCATAGAGACACCCTTTCTAAGAAGATTTAAAAAAAAAAAAAAACACAGAGTGATCTCTCAGTTTTGTCCCATTGCTCTGATTTCAAGATTACTCCCATGTGTACAGATTCACTGAAGACAGTCCCCATGCTTACATTTCTTATACAGCTATGAATCAAAATCAAGTTTCTGATTAACCACAGGAGAGGGTATTCAGAGGATAAATGGAACATAGGTGGAAATGTCATTTTCCTACCTCAAATACATAGAAAAAATTATCTACAATATTGATGTAAAATAAGAATACTCCACAAAGACCAGAAATTATACAGAATTCCTGAGAGGCTTGAGGCAGATGAATAGGTATAATTGACAAGCCATAAATTTACCCAGGGCGTCCATGCTTCCAATTGGGAGTGGTAGATGGTCTGTCTTGATGCTCAGGACAAGATGCTGGAGCGAGAGGAAGCTCTAGGGAACTCTGAGTAGTCAAGGTGACTTCTACAATGGAGAAACATGTCGTGCCTCCCTTCTCTCCTCACCATCACCCACTTGTGAGGGTCACAGAGGAGGGTCTGTACCTTGACAGGAGCAGTAAACAGAGACATCGGGGCTGAGAGGCAAGATAGCCCCCTGAGAAGCTTGATGCATTCAAAGGAAACAGAGTCTCCATGACGAGAATACAGGCTACTGAATGTACCAGTGAGTGATTCCTTGACTTATCATCACTAGCAACAGGGAGTATATCTAAGGTGCCAAGTGGATAAGCAGAAACCCCAAAATGCAGAGACCATTACAAAATCAAGCATCGCCACACATTAAGAAAGTCAGTCTAATACGTGTAGACAGCACACCCAACTTAGTTCTTTGAGAACTAAGAAAACCGAATGAACGTAGCGCATACAGAGAGATGAGAGACGGCATTGCAGTCAAATAAAAAGAACCAACTAGAGAGCTTGGATATAGAAAATCATGAACCTAAAAGGGAAAATTAGTAGCTGTAATGAAAGTCAGAATGTACAGAGCTGAGGGAGAACCAGTGACTGGAAAAGCCACTTGAAAAATATTCCGAGAATACCCCAAATGAATGACAGTGGTGGAAATATGAAAGAAAAATTAAGAAACTAGAAGGAGAATTCAAAAGTCCTTTAGAAGGGTTCTGGAAGAAAAGAACACAGAAAAGTGGGAAAAGTGGTAAAATACAAACAGAACAATAAATTTGAATAAGAAATGAGCATTCACCTTTAAAGGACCTACTAGGTACTGGCAGGAGGAATATGAAACGATCCCTATCAAGATGTATCATGGAACCAGGCGCGGTGGTGTACGCCTGTCATCCCAGTGTGACTCAGGAGGCTGAGGCAGGAAGAGTGTGAGTTAAAACTCAGCCTCAGCAACCTAGCAAGGCCCTAAGTAACTCAGCAAGACCCTGTCTCTAATAAAATATAAAGAAGGGCTGGGGATGTGGCTCGGTGGTTAAGCACCCCTGGGTTCAATCCTTGATACCAAATTAAAAAAAAATGATATGTTGTGGAAAAACTCAGACCACCAAAGGAAAAGAGGAAATCCAAAAACATTTCAGGTAAGAAAATTTCAGAAAGCCTGCCTACAAAAGAATCAGAATCATATTGACATAAATATTTTCATTCATAAAATTAGATGCAAGAATAAAATCTACAGTATCATCAGGTTTCTCTACACTCAGACAAACTATTGTTCAATCTGAATAGGAGGATGAAAAAGACACATATCACTGACTTGGACATGTCATTTGATTGCCCTTGAACTAAATAACTAGAAGTTTTACTTGGAAAATCCAATAAATCCAAGGAGGAAGATGTGTGGTAAAAGAAGAAAATGGAATCAGTAAAATATATCAATAATAAATAGCAGTGTTTGGTTTATTAAAATGCCTGGTAAATAAATCTCAGATGACCCTAATAAGGTAGCTGAAAGTAGACTAAGGAAAAAGAGAAAATTAAAATATGGTTAGGTATTGTCCAATTAGGGAAGAAGCCATAAATACCAATTAACCTAGACAATAACAACAACAACAACAACAATAAACAACCGTGTTTAAAAGTGTGTGTTTGAACTGAGCACAAAGAGCTTGCCAGAACTCTGTGCTCAGGGACCTGACTCTGCTTCATCCAGGTTTCCACCCACATGAGGTCATGTCCCTGAAGACGGCCTCAGCTCACAGGCTGATTTTGTTCAAGAAAACACAATGCTGCTAGACCTAAAAATGAACATGGCCCAGACCCACACCACCAAACCGTATTCAGATATTTCTATATGTCCCCTTCAGCAATTTTCCATTTCTCTTTAGCCTCCCCTAGTCCCCACAGTTCCTTGTTACCCTTCTTTGAAATCCCCTTCTGTTCCTTCCCTGTCATCCCTTTAAAATCTTAGCCAGTTTGGTCTTCGCTAGAGTTGAGTTCAGTTTATACTGGAGTCTCCTCTTCTGCAGTAGTCTGAATGAAACCTATCTTGGGGCCTTTAACAAGTATCTGGTGCTGTTTCTCACTGACAGTGTTTAAATATCTGGATGAGGATGTGTGTAATAAGTTGGGTGCGGTGGCGCATTCTGTAATCTCAGTGGCTCCGGAGGGAGGCTGAGGCAGGAGGATCTAGAGTTCAAACCAGCCTCAGTAACAGTGAGGTGCAAAGCAATTCAGAGAGACCCCGTCTCTAAATAAAATACAAAAAAAGGCTGGGGGCGTGGCTCAGTGGTTGAGTGCCCTGGGGATCACTCACTGGTACCCCCCACCCTGAAAAGAGTTAGTATAATAGGCTCTACTTTCTGGGTCTCTGGTGACCTATGACCTACTTCAGAGAGTGTAGCCATTAAATAAGGTCCCTTTGAGAAGACGCTGAAGCCAAGAGCTGAAGAACATAATGAGGCAGACTTCCCAGGATTTCAGGAGCAGGCTGAAGCAAATACAAAGGCTGGAGCCACAAGCAGAAGTTAACATCTGGGGGAAAAAAAGAGAAGAAAAAGGGAAAAGTGAGCAAGAGGGAGAGTGGTATGTGGGGAGTTGGGGGAGTAGCTACAGGACCTTAGAGATCTCGGGGCTGCTTGGTATTTTGGCCATCCGTGTTTCTGCCTCGAGGTCGGTGATGCTTCAGAATGCTTTATGGCCCACCTGTGCCCTCATCCAGCTCTTGCCTCAGGTGGGAACTTTAAGAAACCCAGGACTGTGTCTCGTCCTTGACATTTTCCCAGAATTCGACACATTGCTAGCTCATAACAAATGCTCAATAAAGGGATAGCCATTCATCCCTGTGTTTTTATTTTATCTCTATTTAACAAAACTTGAAAATTCTGCCAGATTTGAAACGGAACAGAAAAAGACAGGTACCACATACCTTCTAATGATTCTTCAAAGAAACCTTAGGCAGTCTAGTAAGAAAAGCTATAGCTGCACACAAACCCATTTCGCAAGGTCCAGGCTTCAGTGGGGAGGGCGCTCCCCAACATTTAACACGCCTCTGATCTTTCCAGCCACACCCCACCATTACCTCCAATGCTCATCACCTCAACCTACGGGGAAGCTTAGACCCAGGAAGCTGGAAAACTCACTCCCATTCTAAAATGCTAGGCACTCTGACCTGGGACATGTGCCCAACCCTGCTCACTGTCCCACTGGAACGGTTCTTGCCAAATTCAAAGACTGACTCATAAAATTCTTCTCACCAGGACATTATTAGACACCATGAGGCAGTGGGAAGGATGGCAGGTGGCAGTAGGCTGACCCTTCCACCTAAGAGAAGCATCTCAAAGGACTTTTTGTGCCCTTTGATCAAACAACGTGAAGTGAGATGACATTTCACTCACTATGGTGAAAGAGGCACTCAGATGAGAGCACTTCAAGGTGTTGTTGACTAACATCACGAGACGGATTTAGCCCCCTACCCTGAATCATGGAGGACATGAGTCTGTTCTTTGAAAACAGTAGTCTTTTCATGTCTTATTTTGGAAACACTCAAAGGTGTTGTGAGCGCATGGCTTTGCATTCTGTGTGGCTTTCCACTTACTCTTGTATGAGGGAGAAGTCTTTTGTCCCTTGAGGATATCTAGAGTAGTAGGCAAATTAGTTTTCTCTATATTAAGAAACAGAGTTATCTAAACCTTTAAATCAGTAAATACCCTCATCTCAGTCCGTATTGCAGGTGATGCAGGCTGATGAGCAGAGAGGCCTCTGGCTTGGGCATTTTGAAAACAAAAATCTGACTGGATGATTCTGACACACACTCATAATCAACTTATCATTTAAAAAAACAGAATGCATTTTGGCTTTCTTTTTATGCTTTTCTTGTGCTTGGGGTGTGTGTGTGTGTGTGTGTGTGTGTGTGTGTGTGTGTTTGTGTGTGTGTGAGTGCCGGTGTGGAGGAGTATTTTGACTTACGCTGCTCATTCTCTGGGGAAGGCAGTTTGAGAGGCATTGCACGCTGGAATAAGTCCACGTGACAAATTTCCTTACTCATCCTCTTATAACCTGGTTTAGACATGTCCATCATGAAGCCTTTTCTAATTCACCCAAGCAAATTTGATCCTTGTCCTCTTTTGACTCTGTTCTATTATGAGCAGACATTTACCAAGGGGCTCTTAACCCTGTGCAGTAATTGATGCCTATCTGTCTCCTCCAGCCTATAAGGACCTCACGGCCTGTGTCGAATGTGTCTCTCTCTAACTTCCATCCTCTGTGAACTTTTGCTGATTAAATGAGCTTGAATGAGGTAGAAATAATTCCCAACCTTGGGACTGCTGATTCAGAGACAGACACAACAGCAAAAAGTAAGATTCAAAAGCTATTTTTAGTGTTAAATAATTTTAGTGAAGGTTGCACATTTGCTGCCATGAGTTTAACTCTAGCTTCATGAAAGTTTATTTGTGTGGTAATTGTTTTATCAACTTGGCTTTAATACTGCTGTCAGATGGGACATCGTTGGCTACAATTAATAATTTCATTATTAATGAAATTATTAATCAATAAGATTTTCCTTTGTGGTAGGTAAAATCATTGAAAACATTATACCTTTGTAGGAAAAATAAAAATAGTAAAGAGAAGTAGACCACTGGAACTCTGGGGCACATTGTCTCAGTAACCTGTAAGTAAGAGTTAGAGCTAGACGTGAGTGATTCCCTCAACTAACTGAAATAAAGCTAGACAGAGGAGCCTTCTGGGTTTAAAGGACCATGGAGATTTCTTGATTTCAAAATTTCCTCACACTCTCTCAAGGAAAAGCACAGAATCAACCAGCAGAACAAAGTTGTGTTGCTAGGCAACAGAGACCTAGCCTCCAATTCACTTGTGAGCAGAAGAGTAGAAAAGGGGAGGCTATGAGTCTCCAGAACAAGAGAACTTACATAGGCCACAAGCAAAATCAATCCAGAAACAGAAAGCCCAACAATAATTGCTAAAATACAAAATGCAAGTTGTTTTGAAAGCACATGGCACTGTTCACGGAAAGGTTCTTCTGTGCACAAGAATGGAGGTGACATCATTTGAAAAATGTTACTCTGGAAGAGATATATATACATAGAGAGAGAGGGGTGCCACCCGCTGGAGACAAACCATTGAAGGAAATAAGCAAAGAAGATAAAACACTCTTTTAGTGAAATAAACTGTCATGTGCTTCCTACCCCAATCATCCATTAAAGAAATTGCTCAAAGAGGGAGGAACTGAAAGAAAGGAGAGATCTTAAACGAGGAACCCCATTAAGGAAGGGAATAATAATAAGGAAAAACAGACCAAATCCCTTTAAAACTAACATAAATATTAAGAAAACAAGAATGAAGGCATTTCTGCTGATGAAAATTCTGACGAGGTAATCCAACCAACCTGCAGAACAACCTGAGACATCTTTAATCAACACTCCAAACGGAAGCACTTTAGGAATATCGAAAAAGATCACAGGTCAGAAACATAAAAACTAGGAAGAGAAACAGACCAAAAAAGGAAAGCAAACAAATAAACAAACCCAACAAAACCCAGAAGGAAACAAAATGAGCAAGAGAGGAATGGGAAAGACATAGATCCTAAGACAAAAATATATATGATGAAGACTAAGTTACAAAGTACCTGGGAGGAAGACAGATTGAATACAAATTCAATGATGAATATAAAAGAAAAATAGGTAAACAATCAAAAAATTCAAATGAATAATACTGATATGAGGAACAAATTAAGAATATCAGAAGAGAAGTGGTAGAAATGCAAAGGAATTGACAAAGGAGGTACAATACACCTATAACTGGCATCTCCAAGTAAGAAAGCCAAAACAACAGATAGAGATAACATTTCAAATTATAAGTCCAGAAAAGTTACAGATGTAAAAGAGAAACTAAATTGACACATAATGATTTCTAGTGGGTACTAGAAAAAAATTGGCCTGGTATTAGTAACTGTGGGATATAGACTAGAAAAATGAATAGACTTAAAAAAAAAAAGAAAGAAATCTTTGAGTCTTCTAGGCAAAAGATAGAGTAACTTAGGCCAGATAACCAGTTCATTATCAGACTTCTTAAAAACAGCCGGCAAAGCAGAGCAGCGTTGGAGTAGCATTTTGTATTACTGAATAGGTTCACTCAACCAAGACATAGCTGAGAGAACTTTGGCAAGAAGACTAATAAGAATAAAATATAGACATTACATCTTCTGACAAAGAAGAAAAAATGAAACTTTGAAGATGGTTGGAGCATCTGCTTTCTGGAAACATGGAAAAGACACCCTTTTCTGTATCCCTACTGTATATAATGCTGAAAACGTAAACATTGTATGTAGAGCAACGTAGGAATCAGCAAAGACAGGAGAGGAGAAGAAGCCTCCCTGGGGACTTCGAGATCCAACAGATGATGGTGGTGTCTCCTGGGTTCTCCACTTCCTCCTGCAGCACAGGTTGGGTGCTGGAGAAGCCACAAGCTGGAAAAGCCAATGAGTACAGACAAAGCAGCTCTAGGAAAGTCCTGCACTCTCTAGCCAAGTGCCAGACATGACAGCCAGCAAGAAAGGAAACTTTCAGACCAAACCGCTGGACTCCCACAATAGGACACAGGAAGGAAGGGCATTGCTACTCCCAACCCCCACTGGAAAAGACCAAGTGGATGACCTGAATAAGATGTTTCAAGTACTGTAGAAACTGAGAACCATTTCATCTAGTTAAGGAAATCTGCTGTAGTTACCTATAATTTTACTATTTCCGTTGTTCTTTCCTCCTTCTGATGTTTCAATATTTGTGGTTTTGCTATGATATGAAAATGGTTTATCAGTTGTAATCATGTATTAGAAAATTGCAGACCTTTCTAACTTATAACTATTGGTGGAAACTGAGGGAAGGATGTTTGCAATTTCCTGTGGATCTAGAACTGGTTCATGAAGCTAATAAATAGATAAAACTCACAAAGTAAGAGTATATAGTGGAAATGAGAATACATTTTTAAAATATGCATGAAAGAATACCTTTTAAAACTTACATAGAAGATAGTAAATGTTAAGAAGGAAAATAGGAAATGAGTGGAATATGAAAAAAAAGTAATAGCAAGAGAAGTGCTATGCTAAAAATAATTTTGTTCTTCTAAAAATCCAAAGGGTGGGGGAAACATGCCAAATAGAGAATGAAACACAGTAACTATAATGCAGTGCTCACATACACCACACCATGAGGTAATAAGACCAAAGGGGGGACCACTGCATGTTGGTCATGTCAATAAATGCAGATGGGTTTAACATACCTATGAGAAGAAAACGACTTCAAAATGGCTTATAATGGAAGAACTAACCTATAATATATACAGAGATTTTTTTTAAAAAAATGAATGATTTTTAATAAATTACAAACAAAGGGATGGACAAAGATTATGTCAGGAAAATGGAAATAAATCAAGCCATGTACTTGTTTGTAGAAGCCATTTAGTAATAAATCTCTGGCTCAGACTGCCTGCGCCTATGCCCACTTGTTCCCATCACCTGC